TTGATTAAGAATAATAAAATGCTGTAGAAAAAAAAATTTGTACTTCGTTAAACAAATTATGTACAAGTTCAAATATTATCTCATTTTAAATTGCGTAGGTTGACCTTGATGGTAGGTTCGAGAAAGCGGAATCAATATTACTTAACGTACAAGAGAATAATTTTAAGGCAGAAAAAATCTGCACTTTGTTAACTGAAATAACATACTCAAAAAAACACTTGAATTAATTGATGCATGACTTGAACCAGAAGATGAAGAAATTATGTAACTGTTATTCTTTTCCAAAGTAGGTGGAACACGTATGCCTTGGCTTATATTTCATGTCCTCCAATTCCAATGAATTTATAATTTGCAAGACTCTCTTCGTTTCCCCCATTATTGGAGAACCATGTTAGGTCACATTTCTCTTCTCCTTTAATCACCACCTGCCGCTGAAGTGATGAGTATACCATAAAAATATTTTCAAAGAAAATTTTCCTTGGCACACTGGTCCACATCAAAGAAACGTTGCAGAATCTGGGGTTTAGTCATTTGTTCTGCAGAGTCAAAATGAAAGATCATTTTTGTTTATGTAAGCCCTTAATTAAAATTGACTTAGGTTGGAGGAAGATAAAGGAGAAGTCCAATTCTCGAACCCATCACTAATTACTTGCTGTTGTATTAACTAAATCAAAGTCAATAAAGAAGAGTGGATTAGGTATGGCTAAAACCTATATAACCAAGTCCCAAGCACCATATCTAATTAATTAATTTAGGCAAGTCACAAGAAATTTATTATTGGGTTTAATTAATTCAGGACACCTAAAAAATTTAAGCTAAAATTTATTGTACTGTTTCTCAATCTTCTACAATTTCTTTTTAAGATGTTAACAAGGAATCAAGACGCTTGTTAAGGAAATGCTCAGATTGTATACACCGGTCATCAAGAGTTTTGAACAGAAACATGCATCTTTTTTCCCAACTAAATACTTGAAATTGAAAGTTGGAAATATTGGTGGAAATGAAATTAATTTCACCACAACTGAATTTGATTGTTTATGTAAATTCAACATTTTTCCTACCCATATTTTTTGAATATGGCCTTGTGGTTAAGTGGGGTTCAAGCTAAGCAAAGCTAAAGCAGATACCTCAAACCAAGTTAGTTATATATATAGCAGTGTGGGCAGGACATTTGCTTATAGCTAGTCTTGTGGATAAGTGGGGTTCAAGCTAAGCTAAAGCAGACCCCCTCAAACCAAGTTATATAGCACGAGCAGTGGACCCAAAAGTAATTCGAGTTCTATATGTTCCTGAATCTTTACCTCTCTACCTATAATTAAGAAGGTATCTAGTGGACCATAATAAACATGTCTGGCACCATATTTTGCAGTGTTTATGTCCGGGGTCAAAATTTTGCAAATTATTTAAACTTATTGGTATAAGGTGGGGCCCATAAACTATTTGTTAACATGTCACTAAAAACCATTTTGATATTCTAAATTTGATAATTAAGTTAAAGCCATCATTTGCATAGGAAAAAAGATTGGACTCCTTAGTAAAATCGGAAACTTTAGCTTCCTATTTGTTGCTTTTGCCTTTGATGCATGAGATGGTGGAAATTTTTTTACATTAATGTGATGTGGGTTGTTTGGAATTGTTGCAGTGTTGTATAAATGGTAACCCTAGACAGCATAATTAGCCAACTGGCCACACCCACTATGAGTTATACACCCAATTCTTTTCATTATTAATTAAGCTGCAAGCAAAAGTGGAGAACCCTAAATTTGGTTATTTTGCTAGTGTTTTTCATAATACAATGCCATAAAGATTGTCCCATATATATCATGTTGGATACACAAAAGTAGAGGGGGTTGGTTTCTTTTGTTTGTGTGTATGTGTGATCATCATTTGGCAGGATATTATTCGCAGAAAGATTGTCTATAGTTTGATTTTTCTTTTGGGTAAAAGACACCGTGAGTTACTCAACTTTGAATCTATTTTGATTTTGTTATGCTAATTTTTAGTTTTTGTCAATTATGTCACTCAATTTCCTTTCTGTGTTTCAAATTGAAGGTCATTCTATAAACTATACATATATGATTAATCAATATAGATCAACAATTATATCATAGATAGAGATAATCACAAAATTGAAAAGGAATAAATAAATAATAATAAAACATAAATACTATTGAATAAAAAGGCAGAGACAACAGTGAATACAATAAATGCCCATATCTAATGAAAATATCTGAAAGAAAATAGCAAAAACAGAAAATCAGGACATCCTGGCATGGCAGGACTTCTTGAAAATCCAGGAACCCAAGGAAATATATACACACGTTCAGCCAAAACATGCCTCCTCCCTGTATATTATTGTTTTTTAGGTTAATTTATAAATCATGACAATTTTTAATTTAGGCTTTAACGTTGACAGTACTGTTTAGCAAAAACCCCCATGTTTGCTTGCCTTCTTGTAAGATCTTTTGGCCAACTCCAAAAGCCAAGAAGAACAGAATCTGGTCCCTGAAAATTACTCTGTAACTAATTTGGAGCAGTAGTAGTTATTAACTAATCACTCTGTTCAATGCTAATTTTGCTTTTCAGCTAAAAGCGTATTTAATGTGGAAATAGCCCCAAGAAATTGGATTTTGACCACGTCGAGATATTAGTACTATTACCATTTAATTAGAAATCATCATAATATCACACATAGTATTCAGAGATTGCACCCTCCTTGGCTTACCAAATGAAGAACTTGGTACTATTAAATTATAGATTAACCAACGATGTTAACCAAAATGAATATTATTATACATGCTACACGAATACCGTGTTTGGAAGAAAGGCCTAATCAAAAGAAAACGCATACAATACCAAATATACATGGATGAAAGGAAAATGATGGTTTAGCTGAAAAGAGAAAAAAACATTATGATTAACTTTATTCAAATATACGAGTCTAGTGATCTAGTTTACAACAATTTATGATGCATTTTTCTCTTTTGAGTGCTTATAACATTTGTGATGTATTTCTCTCACTATAACATTACTTTGTTCTAAGTGATGTTACTATATGTTTGCATGGAAGATCATCTTAAATTAGTAATTTGGCAAAGAAATGCCTAGTCAAAAAGATAGCTGAACCCATCTCAAAACATAATCCCAAAATGATAATAGAGAACTTTTGCATGTGGAGTGGTTGGGACTTGGAAGTTTCAAGCGACTATGAGTCTAATCTAGGCAAGGTAAAAACCAGACTTGGGAGAAGCAAGAATAGGGAAATCTAGATGGATTTGAAAATTGAAATGAATAAAGGACCGGAAAGGAAAGGGTTCTTATTTTATTTTAAAATTGGATGGAACAGAGATTGTGGATCCAGCAGCATACATGAATAGATTTGAGTATTTTCACCTGCCCCCCACACCCACCTCATGTGCGCCCTCCCAACACGAACCTAAATGGCGCTCAAGGCACATGGCTTCAGCCTCCTTGTCATTGGATTAATCACATCTACTCTAATGGTATATATCTAGAGTACCAGTAATCTCTCCATTTTATTGGTATATATATCCGATCATGAACTATAAATTGAAATAATAATCTTTTCTCACTCTCTTTCAGGATTCCAAATTAAGAACTTTTAGTTGTTGGAACATCCGCTGAGTTGCTAGGTATACCAACCACATCTCTCTCACACATTATTGGATTTAAGACAACAGAAAGGTGCCAAAGTTTGGTTTAATTTAAGTGATTTTGAAGACTGCCAATTTAGTGGGGTAGCAATTTTCGGCGGTGATGGCAACAGGCATGTATGATGGTTCTGGCAAGATCTTTCTCATCTTAAGGACATTCTGTGACATGGCACAAAAGGTTCTTTGTCTAGACTGGGCAAAGCAAAGATTGGGGAGCTGACTTGTGAATTAAAATCCTTTGTCCGACTCAGTTAGAATCTTTGCTGATCAATCTAAATGACAAGTTCATGATGATGGGTCTCAGTCTCACCATTAAAAAGCTTCAGGTTTGGTCTCACAGCTCTTCTTCACTTATTTTATCAATTACATTTAGGAATGTTTACCTTGATTCTCAAATCAAAGTTAAGGTTCAAACTTCCGTAATAACTAGGCGTTCAAACCTCTATGATAACTAAGCATACTAACTTCCCTGGACTACCAAAAATAGTCATTGATAAGCTAATACACCATCACGGTCTAAACTTTTGGACAAAAGAGTTATTGGCAGCCATGCTTTATGCAACTGTTATGTCCTTCCAAGCCATGCATCCATCATCACCAATAGTAAGCTAAGGCCTAAATTTTGGAGGTAAGGACATTCATGTTGGGGGCTCGGTGTCTTTGATCACATCCTTCATTGTGCTACCAAAGACAGCATGGATATCATGTCATTATTGCTTGGCAAAACAGAATAAAGAAGCTATATATGGTTGAATCGTGCCTCACACAAGACAAAACAGATTTTTCATTTTGATGGAAAACGCAAAAGATTGCATCAAAGGGGATATTGGGATGGAAAATAATCGCTTGAAAACTCATCTTTCATTGAACACAGGTTACAAGATCTATATACACAAGTCGCCGTTGCGCGTGATGTGATCAAACGATACCTCAACCTCCTATGAGCTTTTGCTCACTGGGTTGACCTCTTCACAATTAGTATAATAAGAATTTACACTATGACCAAAGCTAATGATCCACACTTAGACATCTGTATCACAAAATTTACCATCCATCCGGTTCTGAACAGCCTTGACAGCAGCAACTCTAGCAGCAGTGGCTGCCCTGTTTGCAGCAAGAACCACCTTGTTCACCTGCTCATCCACCCGGCGAAGGCTAATTGCATTTTCTGCTGTTCTTCTAGCAGCCTGCAACATATCAACAAAATTAAGGAATTGTACACTTTCTATGTATTCCAAATTAAGAAATGTTGAAACCAGATAATGAAACATCAATCCCAAAAGAACTTACCTGAACTGCTCGAATTACTACATCAGTTGGTGGGGATAAAGGGGTCTTAAGGGTGCCGGTATCCCATTCACCACATTTTGTCTCACCATTACGAAAAACATACATGCCATATCCTTGCCTACGACTTTCATGCCAGGATCCCTCGTAATAGTGACCATTAGCAAAATGATAGACACCGAAACCATGTATTTTGTCCCCAAAGTATTCTCCAGCAAATCTATCTCCATTCCTGCAACACAAACAAATAGATTTACTAAAACCCCGAGAATCAAATTCAACTCCCAAAACAAAGAATTCAAAAACAGATCAAATAGATTTTTTTTGAACTTAGGTTGCATAATAGGAGACAACTCTCTCCTATCCCTTAACCTACCCCAGCTGCATGCCATGTGATTAAACTCAGCATCTCTAACTTCCAAGGGAAGGAGGATTGCACTGAGCTCCTTAGATAGTTGGCAACAGATCAAATAGACTTAAATTTATGAAATCAACAACGAACAAGCAAAAACCTTTAATCCTAATTCATCGAGAGGTGCGTTAAACCAACTTGAGTGAAAGAAATTGTACCTGAAACGGTAGCAGCCGAGGCCATGCTTGACCCCACACTTGAAATCTCCAATGTAACAGCTCCCGTCTGCACAAGCCTGGACTCCAACACCATGACTCTGCCCGTTACACCACTCACCCGCATACGAATCACCTGTATAGAATCTATAGACCCCGTATCCATGCCTCAAGCCCTGTCTATATTGCCCTCTATATCTACTTCCCCTGGTCCAGGTCTCCACTCCATACCCATCATACCTTCCGTCCACCCAGTCCCCCTCGTACCTCCCGTTCACAATGAAATTGTAAACCCCGCTTCCATTGCACCTCCCCTTGTGAAATTCCCCCTCGTAGAAATCCCCATTGCTGTAGAACTCCACCCCTTCCCTCACGAGCTTCTGTTTCTCCTTGGTGTTCTTGTTTTCCCCGATGAACCACTGCAACGGTTTAGTGTTGGCGTTCGATGAGCGAAACCCATGTCGTTTCGAGTAACCGTCCCACGTCAGTTTGCAAGAAGCAAGACTCTGGTTGATGATAGACTTGTTCCGGTTAGCCAAAAACAGAGTGACGGCGATGAAAGTGAGGGCCAGCAAAAGATTCTCCGATGTGGGTATCTCTTCCCTTCTGAAGTAGAAGAAGAAGAAGAAGAGGAGGAGGGAGACAATGGTAAGGAAGGAGATCAAAGCCATGGCGAACACCGGGTTGAACCGAGTCAGGACGGTTCTTGGCGTCGACCCCGATTTCTTCGGTGGCTTCCTCTTTTTCTCCTCTTCAAGCAACGATTCCGGGTCTCCACCTTCCTCTTCTTTGAGGAGAGGCTTACTACTGCCGTCACCAACTTCGAGACAATGGATGGACGATCGGACGGTCGGCGACGAGCGGAGAAGCGACGACTGTGTTCTCGTGAGCTTCGCCTGACTTTTCTGGCCGTCCATTCTACTGGGTCCCACACCAGACTTCAAAAAATACAGTTTCTTTCAGGCGCCCGATTTTTCCATTTTTCCCTCCTCTTTCTTTCTAGTGGGCCCGCCTGTACCTAGATATTCTGATGACAACAACCGTCGTTCGTGAAGCCGCCGCCGCCGCCGGCGACATCACAGGGACACTAGCGGAAAACGTGCACCCGTTAGCACCACTGAAACTTACAGGAGAGCGAAATCTAGAAACTTCTCTTCTTTTTTTTTTCTTTTTTTTTGGCAAAGAGGTTTTGCTGAGGAAAAAGAGAGGATTTCTTGAGAGAGTGATTCGGGGGAGATGTGGACTGGCCTTTATTATTATTTATAGATGGTGTAAATGGGGGAAATGGGATGATCCAATCTGGACCGTTGGATGGGAATTGAACGGTGGAGAGAAGACATAGCATCGTAGCCGTTGGTTTCGATATGGGAACTCCTGGTCCCGACGGGTAGATATGGTCGGTCGGATCTAGATTCGGTCGCTTAGTGCTTTACAGTGGCAGTCAGGTCGTCACGTGCCACCACAGTTTTTGTACGTAAATAAATTGCTCTGTATATTATGTTGGGTCTGTTTATTCTATCATTTGTTTATTAAGAATGACGGTACTTTATTTTGGGTTAAATAATAATTTCAGTCTCTTTAATTTTAAGATTTTATATAATTGTTTACACTATTTTTTGCAAATAAATTAAAAAGAGTTACATGTTTGATTTGTTTTGAATTTGAATGAGTCAAAAGTTAACCGCTGCAGTCTTATTATCTTCAGTTTAATTTAAGCAGTTATTACCACAAGGTTAGCAGACTAATTGATTTGTTATAAATCTTTAGCATGTTACTGCTAATTTTCAGGATTCTATATTAGCTTTATGCCTTACTGTCATTTATTTAGGAGATTGTTGCAGATTTCATGTTACCATAGGTTTTCAAGATACTGTCAGCAAAATTCCACCATGTTGTAGGGTGCTATATATACTCAACAATAAGATAAAGGAAAACTTGTCTCTCACGCAACTAACTCAACGTTATCAATATTTTAATTTCACAAGTAGTGTCTTAATTTAAATTTAGATTTCTCAAATAGTTTTTATAATTTAATCTTTAATTCTATGCTGTTATTAGTTTTAATTTTAATTTTTACTATTTTGTTATAAATATCTCCACTAATGCATTTAGTTTTTTGCAATTCAATTCATTGCATTTTGCCCTAAATTCATC